CTCCTGTCCCCTCCAGCCTTAACCCCGTCTCTCCCCTCATCACAGAGCAGCGGGAAGAGCTCGGTTCTGGAGAGCATTGTGGGTCGCGACTTCCTGCCCCGGGGCTCAGGCATTGTCACCCGGCGGCCTCTGGTCCTGCAGCTGGTGAACGTGCCATCGCTGGAGGAGCGGCAACGTGCAGCCAGTGGGGAGACAAGTAAGGGGGTGCTGGGAGGCAGGTGGGCTCTCCCTGGGCTGAGGGGACAGGAGGTGTTAGGGTTAGGGGGAGTAGGGTATAGTGGTTAGAGGGGGGGGGGGGGGGCTGGAAGCCAGGACTCCTGGGTTCTCTCCCTTGCTCTGCAGTACCATTCACTGGGAGGCCCCCCACCCCCTCCCAGCTCTGGGAGGTTGAGGATAGAGACCCCAAGGGCTGAGGTGGTGAGTTCCCAAGGTGTCTGGCTCACTGTGACCCCCTCTCTCCCTACTGCTGGGGAGCCCGTGTCTGTGGGTTGAAGCCAGTGGTTCCTGTGGGGAGCCAGGGTCCGAAACAGAGCTTCTTGGAGTGGGGCTGCGCAAGCCCTTGAAGCCCTGTCCATGTTCTGGGGGGCTGAGAGTGACCCCGAATTGGCTCTCCCTGCAGGTACCCAGGCTGAGGAGTGGGCGACCTTCCTGCATTGCAAGCACAAGGTAGGGGCCCTGCTCGGGATCTGGGGGTGGCCCCTTCAACCCCTGTCTGGGTCTTGGGGGGGAAATAATGGTAATTGGAGGGGTGGGGGATGCCCCTCCCTGACTTGTCTGTTAAGGGATAATGGGGTGATATTCCCAGCACCCATCCCTGTCCTTTGCTGGAGGTGGGGGGCAGCCTCCCTTGCCCATCCTGGCTGTGGGTCATTGCACGCCCCCTCTCCATGTACTGTCAGCTTCTGGGCAGAGGGAAGTGCCACCAGGGGCAATGGAGCCTGTCTCAGGGCCAGCCCTGCCTCTCTGTCCCCTCTCAGACCTTCACCGACTTCGATGAGATCCGGCAGGAGATCGAGACTGAGACCGAGAGGACGACAGGAACCAACAAGGTAATGAACACCTGTGAATAGACCTCCCCAATGTTTGTGTGTGAAACCAGGAGTCCTGATCCCAGCCCCCCCTGCTCTACTCCACCAGCCCCCCTCCCCTCCCAGAGCCGGGGAGAGAACCCAGGAGTCCTGATCCCAGCCCCCCACTACTGTAACCCACCAGACCCCCGTCCCCTCCCAGAGCTGGGGAGAGAACCCAGGAGTCCTGATCCCAGCCTCCCACTACTCTAACCCACCAGACCCCCCTCCCCTCCCAGAGCTGGGGAGAGAACCCAGGAGTCTTGGCTCCCAGCCCCCTCACCCCCCCGCTCTAACCCACCAGACCCCACTCCCCTCCCAGAGCTGGGGGGAGAACCCAGGAGTCTTGGCTCCCAGCCCCCTCTGCTCTAACTCTGCTGGTTATTGCCCTGCAGGGGATCAGCCCGGAGCCCCTGTATCTGAAGATCTACTCCCCACATGTCCTGAACCTAACACTGGTCGACCTACCGGGGATCACCAAGGTGAGAGGCAGGTGCCCCATGGTGTTGGGGGATGGGATGGGGAAGGGTCCTTGGATGGGGTGGGGAGGGGTAATGCCCCACTGTGGGTGTCTGTCAAAGCTGCCGCTAGGGAGATATTTCCAAAATCCGGCTTATTCCTGTTCTCACTGGGAGACCTTCCCAACTACAGACCCTCAGCCAGTTGGTGTCTGTAACCATGAGTCCTGGCTCCCAGCCCCTCCTGCTCTAACCACCAGACCCTGCTCTCATCCCAGAGCTGGGGAGAGAACCCAGCAGTCCGGGCTCACCTGTATCTTGTCTGGCAGGAGCCTGCACTCACTCTTCTCTCCCCTCCACAGGTGCCTGTGGGGGACCAGCCCCCTGACATTGAGGGCCAGGTGCGGGAGATGATCTTATCCTACGTCTCCAACCCGAACTGCCTGATCCTGGCTGTGACAGCTGCCAACACCGACATGGCCACGTCTGAGGCGCTCAAGCTGGCCCGGGATGTTGACCCCGATGGTACTGATGTGGGGGGCTCCTCCAGGGCATGGGTGGGGTTGAGAGCTGGTGGGCTGTGAGCCCTGCATGGTGGGAGTGGAGGCAAGTGGTGAGGGGGATGCAGTGGATTTACTGGGTGTTTGGTGCTGCAGCCTTCACAGACTCTCTTTAGGGAGTGCCCCCCCTTTTAATGTGCGAGGCTCTGGCTTTGTTCCCCCATAACTCCCTTGGGCTCCAGCCCCCCTGTTCCTCTCTGTGGCTCTCCACCAGTCCAGGGGAGTTTGGGTCCCTAGCAGAGACTTCACCCTCATGGGAGCGCTGCAGGCAGCAGGGACCGGGAGAGACGCGGGGCGGCCTTAGCAAAACCCGCTGATGTTTGTTGGTCCCCTGCAGTCCAGGATTGGAGGGTCCAGGCTAGAGAAGAAAAGCCAGGCTTAGGTCAGAGTCTGTGTCGGCTGGATCACCTGCCCTGCTGCTCCAAAACCTCCTGGGAGTCTGCCTCCTGCCCTGGCTGCGCTGCGGGGCTCCAGTGGCCGTGCTGGCCCAGACGCGGGTACCCGATGGAGGGGTTTTCCTGGTGCTGTAGGAATGCCACCTAGTGCCGGAAACACTGGTCTGCCAGCACAGCAGCGTCTGCGCTGGGGGTTAGGTCGCTGTGGGGGGTTTCACACCCTGACCCACGTCATTAGGTGGGTAAGTATAGCCTGGGCCTAGGTCTCCGACTCTGAGCCTGGGCCTGCCTGATCATCCCTACCCCTTCCCTCCTGCAGGACGCCGCACACTGGCCGTGGTCACCAAGCTGGACCTGATGGACGCTGGGACGGATGCCATGGACGTTCTGATGGGCCGGGTCATCCCTGTCAAACTGGGCATCATTGGGGTGGTGAACAGGTGGGCAGGAGGGTGGTGGTCCGGGGGAGGGGGGTGCTGCATAGAGCCAGTGGAGGGGCTGTGGAGATGTAGGGCATGGGGGGGCTGCTGAGAGGTGGGAGGGGCAGGACGTGGCTGGAGTTTGGAGGTGTGTGCGTGGAGTTGGGGGACTGCATTGGAGTTTGGGGGGTGGAGGGCTGTGGAGAAAGTCTTTGGTGGTGGGATGGGGGCACTGTGCTGGAGTTTGGGGGATTGGAGGTGTTGCAGGAGGGCAGCAAACCCAATGTTCCCCCCCAGCCTGGAATGGAGGGGGAGGGGGGACAGACAAATGACTCTGTCCCGCCCCTCCCAGGAGCCAGCATGACATCAACACCGGGAAGAGCATCACGGAGTCACTGCAGGATGAGCAGGGCTTCCTGCAGAAGCGATACCCATCGCTGGCCAACCGCAATGGGACCCGGCATCTGGCCAAGACCCTCAACCGGTGGGTACCAGCTGGGGAGGAGCAGTGCCGGCTAGGATCTGTGCAGCTGGGGCCCTGCTCTCCCTGGCGCGGCATCGGGGCCAGAGGACTAGGGCTGAGGAGGGTGCAGTTAAGGGATCTGTTGCAGAGAAGGAAAAGGGCGGAGGGGTGTGTGCTGCCCCGGCAGACGGAATAGAAGTGAGCCCGTTTACAGTTCACCAGAAAGGGGTGTGTGGGTGAGTGTCATACCTGACATTCTCCTGCAGAACTCAGTGCCACTAGAGGGGGGGTAGCACATGGCGCAGGAGACCCTGGAGTCACCCCAGCAGAGGAGCTGAGCCCTGGCTGTCAGCGCTGGGGGCTGGGTTAGATGGGTTCATTCCTGTGCCGTGCCCCAGGCTGCTGATGCACCACATCCGGGATTGCCTGCCGGAGCTGAAAACCCGGGTGAATGTGCTGACGGCCCAGTACCAGTCCGTCCTGCAGAGCTACGGGCAGCCCATCGAGGACAAGAATGCCACGCTGCTGCAGATCATCACCAAGTTCGCCACCGAGTACTGCCACACCATCGAGGGCACGGCCCGGAACATCGAGACCTCAGAGCTGTGAGTGCTGGGGGGGAGGCGGGCCTGCCCCCTCAAGGGCAGGAACTGCAGTGCAGATACCTGGGAGCTGAGAGGTCGGGGGGCAGGGGTGTGTGGCCATTTTAGGGGGGCCTGTGCTTTGGCTACTGTTTCTGTGCCCCCTCCCAACCCTTCTGTGTCTCTTCCCCCCCCCCCCCCCCCCCCCGCTGTGGGGGTGCCCGCATGTGCTACATCTTCCACGAGACATTCGGCCGGACGTTGGAGTCCATCGACCCGCTGGCTGGGCTCACGATGCTGGACATCCTGACGGCCATTCGCAATGCCACGGTATGGTACCCTCCCCCCCGGGCAGTACCCCCTCCACTGGCCCCTGTTCTATTAATTAGATGGAATAAATGGGCCACAGATGTTCCCATGGCCCAGTCACTGTCCCACATTAAACAGTGCGAAGCGAGCTGCGGGGTTTGGTACCAGAGACCTCGGCCTGCCCAGCACCATGGCAAATGCCATCCGCTGTCCTCTTAAGCTGTTGTTAATGATACAGAGGAGACTGCAAAGCCATGGGCGGCATGTGAACAGCTGGCTTCGGAAGGCTAGCCCCTGGCTTGGCCGTACCACCCTGCCCCTTCTGTCCCCCTGTGACACCCCCTTTTCTTGCTGGAGCCCGAGCACCCTGCCAGCCCCCCATGGTGCCCCTTACCCTACCATGCAGGGCTGAGGCATGGGAACACCGCCTGACTCTACACGCTATGGACCTCTTCCCTAGTCTTTCACCCCTCCCCCATACATACCATGTTGGGGATGGTACCGAGCCATGACGGGGGGTAACAGACCATAGTGGACTGCGGGGCGAGTGTGTGTATGTGCCCCCTCTCCCAGTCCCCTGGAGTGGGACGTACCCCTGGGGCTGGGGGTGCCCACCCCACGACACCCTCAGTCCCATCTCGCTGCGGCTGCCTGGGACCGGCTCCCCCCTTGTGTCCTGACTAGCCTCCTCCTGGGTTTCTGTGCCCCAGGGGAGTAGAGAATGGGATGAGGCTGGGTGGTGACTGGGGGTGGGGGTGTCTCTCCATCCCCACTGGAGAAGCCACTGCTCTGATGAGGTCCCTGCCTCCCCCCCAGGGCCCCCGTCCCGCCCTCTTCGTGCCCGAGGTCTCCTTCGAGCTGCTGGTGAAACGTCAGATCAAACGTCTGGAGGACCCGAGCCTGCGCTGTGTGGAGCTGGTGCACGAGGAGCTGCAGCGCATCATCCAGCACTGCTCCACCTACAACACGCAGGTACCCCCCCCCCCCCCGCCCCCCCCCCCGGCACCCTCACCCCCCCATCATCCAGCTCTGCTCCACATACAACATGCAGGTACTTGGGGACATCCCCCCGGGGCCCCATAATCCAGCCCAGCTCCACCTACAACATGTAGGTACCTGGGACCCTCCCCGGGGGACCCCCCCACCCTGCATCATCCAGCCCCGCTTCACCTACAACACACAGG